AACATCTCTAGCAAAAAAAAAAAAAACATGCTTCAGATTTTTAGCGTAGGGAAAGAAGGCTGATGTAAATGTGCACATGGATGATGACAGTTTGAGCTTGCATGAGAAATATTTACAGTTTTACAACTGTACTCTGGTACAGCTGTACCCTTCATAATAATGGCAGTACAGTGGGAAATGCCCCTCAGACAGCTGTGATGCCTGATTAATTGGATTAATGGATTAATGGATTAAACTTGGACGTGTTTCATTTTTTCAGCACACTTTTAAGTAATATCACACTAGCAACAGTGTTGATGATCGTGTTAAAGGGGTCATATGACGATGCTAAAAATAACATTATTTTGTGTATTTGGTGTAAAACAATGTTTGCGTGGTTTGAGGTTCACAAAACACATTATTTTCCACATACCATACATTATTGTTGCTCCTCTCTGTCCCGTCTTTCTGAAATGCGTTGATTTTTACAAAGCTCATCGTTCTGAAGAGCGCGGTGCACTGAAAAAAATAACTATTAAGATTTACTTAAAAAAATTTTGGTAACAAATTGCACGAACACATTTTAAGTAAATTTTACTGCTCTAATATCAAGTACAACTTACTCGCTCTGATTGGCCAGCTATCCAGTGCATTGTGATTGTTACGCCCTTACCATATTTGGAAACACACAGCGTCTCCACGACATGGTGGCGGCGGCAACAATATTACAGCGAGAATAAAAGTTACGCCTTCTTTCTTTGCGTAAACATTTGGGCAGTGTTATGCAAATCGTCCAACACAGTGACATAGATATGTGGGGGCGTGTAAATGAGGTGTTTTAGGAAGGCGTGGACGAGTCTTAACTTTTATAAAGAATAGGCAACCTCTTTGGGTTTGAGACTTTAGTCTTTGCAACTTTACAGATCTTTTATATGCACAAACAGCTGGTAACACTCCAAAGACAAAGGAAAACTTCAAATCGCATCATATGACCCCTTTAAAAATGGTTGTGTGTTTTGACCATAGGCAATCACAAACATGCAGTAACAACGGTTGAATAAGCAAGAAGTTGGTTATGGAGAAACTTTTCATTTACACAGAATATTGCCAGTTACTTTGTTTATTTATACGGCTCTCTGCACATGATGTTGGGGGAAACAAGACATTTTGGCCACGAATTAAGAATTTGTTCCAATAGTGACAGTTTAACTAAAACAAGAGATAGAGTTAATTAAACTTGGCCACAAATTAACAAGTCATGGGAACAAATTCCTTTTTTTCTCTCACATGAGGGGTTCTTATGCTCTGCCAGTGAAACTAGTTTAAAAGCCACAGCAGAATTACCATTCAACATCTTTGTGCTTTCTGCATGAATGAATCAGTGTTTTTGAATGACTTGATTGAGTGAATGATTCAATGATTTGCTCTTAAAATAAGCTACATGATTCATTCCTGATTGAATCAGTGTTTTTGAATGATTTTAACAGCTACTTGATTTGTTCCTGAATTAATTATTAGTGGTTTTGAATGAATCTGTTGAGCAACTTTTAAATACACTTTAAATCCAGTCAAGTTCGATGACTTGAACTAACTGTTGTATACTTAGGGTTGGTAGGCCACACAACATGCAGTTTATAGTCTGTTTATAAATAGTTCTAGTTATTTTCTGTATTCACAATTCATTATTTTTAGTGTTGAATATTTTTTATAGTTTGT